TTCAGGTTAGCCTAGGTCTCCCAGCCACCTCCCCCAGCCCAGCATGGCTGGGCGGGGGAGGGGCAGCTGCAGCCGAGGCTGCATGGATCCACAAGGAGGACAAAAGAAGCGCCAGCCAGAAGAGCCAAGGGAAGCCCCCCAGTTCTTATACATTTCAGGCTATTAATTATGCAGTCATGACTTAGCAGGCTTCTATTGGTGGGTTTGAAACAAGCAACTTTTAAAAAGTACAAATTGATAAGCTATTGGGCTGTGAATCTTATCAAACACCAGGTACCTCCTTCCTGAGGAGTGGTCTGCCTACGTGACCTGCCAGGTGTCCTGCCGGGTGTCACGTAGACTATCAGGCGTGAGGTTCACACAGCCCCCAGCCAAGCCATTAAGGCAGAATCACAAAAGGCAGAAAACGCCTAGGTTCTTCAAGTGCAGAGCTGGACTCAATCCCAGGCACCTCCATATGAGACATGAGTGTCCTAAGCGGTATCTTAACTGTTATGCAGTTAGAAATTATGAAAAACAGGACCCAAAGCGATAGTCTAGTGGCTAAAGGCCTTGCCTTGCATATGCCGGAATCCATATGGGTGCAGGTTCTAATCCCGGCAGCCTGCTTCCCATCTCGCTCCCTGCTTGTGGCCTGGGAAAGCAGTAGAGAATGACCCAAAGCCTTGGGACTCTGCAGCCACATGGGATACCCGGAAGAAGCTCCTGTCTCCTGGTTTTGGATTGGCGCACCTCTGGCTGTTTGGCCACTTGAGGAGTGAATCAATGGATGGAACATTTTCCTCTCTGTTTCTCATCCCCTCTGTATATCTGACTTTCCAATAGAAATAAATAAATCTTTAAAAAAGTTATGAGAAACAACAACAAAATAACCAAAACATCCTGTGGTGTTGGCATTTATATAAGCCCCCACCTGCTCCACTTGTAATCAAGCCTCCTGTTGATGTACACGAGAAAGCAGCAGACCATGGTCCACATGCTTAGGCCCCTGCCACTCATGAGAGAAACCCCGAAGAAACGCCAGCGTCTCGGCTTCAGCTTGGCCCAGCCCAGTGATTGTGGCTATTTGGGGTAGTGAACCAGCAGATGGAAGATCTGTCTCTCTAAATCTCTGTAACTCTGTGTTTCAAAATAAATAAATAAATCTTAAAAAAAAAAAAAAAGAATGAGTATAAGAGATGAAACCAGTGCTAAGCAGCCGGAAATAACAGTCAAAGTCATGCTGCCAAAATGGCTTGGCAAGAACACCAACATAGCTGTTTGTCCCACTGAGCCCTGGAGCCAGATAGTGGGTACTGCCACCAGAAGCACTGCTCCCGTGGCATCTGGAGATTTTATTGTCACTATTGCCAGAAACGAGTTTCTAAGGGTCCTGCTTCATGGTGTTATAGCTTTGTCTTCAAAATCCCTAGCCTGTGATGGTCATAAGTACACAACATGTAAATTCATTGCCCTAGCTGCAAGGGATTCTGGGAAATAAGTTGCTGGCATTTCCAGATTCTGTTGCAGGAGGCAGATTCTATCTCCCACAAATTAATCATCAATGTAAGAAGTTCTGCAAATGTATTTATAAATTTCACATAATGTGTATCCAAAAGTAATAAAAACTTCCAAACTGTATCCTAAGGACCTCTTGCTCAACAGGCCCAAGCAGCATTTATTTATTTATTTGAGAATCAGGGTTACAGAGAGACAGACACATAGGCAGACAGACAGACAGACAGACACACACACACACACACACACACACACACACACACACACACCCCTGGCATCCAATGGTTCACTCCTCAAGTAGCTGCAATGGCCAATGGCTAGGCTGAGCCAGGCTGAAGCCAGGAACTTCATCTGGGTCTCCAATGTGAGTGGCAGGGGCCAAGGCCATTTCCTGTTGCTTTTCCCAAGTCATTAGCAGGGAATTGGAACAAAAATGGAGCAGCTACGACAGGAACACTTTCCCAAATGGGATGGTAGGATCACAGGCATTAGTTTTACTTGCTGCATCAAAATGCCAGACTCCCCCAAACTGGATGTATAATTTTCTTGCTTTCTGACTGTCCATAATAGATATATACATAAAACAGTTTTGGGGGCTGGTGCTGTAGCATTAAGGTAAGGCTTTCACCTGCAGTATCAGTATCCCACATATCTGACTCACTGTACTTCCAATCCAACTCCTAGCTAAAGCACCTGGGCAAGCAAGAGAAGATGCCCCAAGTGCTAGGCCCTCTGCACCCATGTGGGAAACTAGGAATAGCTTCCAGCTTCAAATCAACTCAGTTCCAGCTATTGTGGCCATTTGGGAGGTGAACCATCAGAAGGACAACCTCTCTCAGTTTCTCCCTCTTCCTGTAACTCTGACTTTCAAATAAATTAGTAGATAATGATGATCCGATCCTCTTCCAATCTTTTCTCTCTGTGAACAGAGCTAATGTCCATCCAGTTTCATGAGCCAAGGGGCTTCATCCGCCACAGTCAAGCTAATACCTCTGACATTTATCCCCCCATATCTCTTGATCATCCACATCTATCCATCTGATCCCATCACTCCTTAGTGGGGCCACAGTAATTTTGTCTGTCTTGCCTTTAATTTATTCTCTGTAACAGCCATCTGTTTGAAATGCTTACCTCACAGCATTGCACCTGTCTCCCCAGCTTAAGACTCACCAACAGCTTCCAGTGATCCTAAGTGGTCCACAGGGCCTGGCGGTCTGTCGGTCAGTCGTCTATCTGCTTGTCTCACCTCGCCTCTCTGTGCTGCACCCCTCCATTCTCCTGTCTTGTCAGCACCCTCCAATCAAGCATCTTTACACCTTTTCTCTTATCCAAGATGCTCCTGGCTACTCACACTTGTTTACTGTTTGCTATCAGGACGGTCCTTCCCCAAATACCACTCCTCTCTCCGCTTCATGTATGAATACACACACAGAAAAAGGCATGGACTCCTGGCACTTGGAGTGTGAGGGTGAAGAAAAAACTCTCATTACTTCTGAATTGCAACATCACTCACTTCGGGAGGAACATATCTGTAGAACTCTTCCTGGCATCTCAATTCACTAAGGGTAAAATAAAACCTTTGCTGTAACCATGAACAGGTATTTCCTGGGGGATTACTCAGTGGGCTCTGGTGTAGAGTGCCAGAGAGATTTTCAAATAGCTTCTCCCTTTACCTGTTCCAGCCGTGAGGAAATGCAGATCCCTTCGCAGTGAGAGTGAACTGATGTTAAGAAGCAGATGGGAAGGTTTTGCATACACTTTGTGGCAAGTTTGACCCTCAGAATGCATCGCTAATGAAATTGTATTTGAGATCTACTGATCTGAAGGTCGTGTGACAAGGACACAGAGTAAGAGGGAGAGAGCATATTTTCTTTTTTTAATATATATAAATTTTTTTGATGATCTTTACATAGTTGATTAGGGCGCAAAGGGTCAAGGGCTACAGGAAAGTGGCTGAGACCATTGTTTCCACATTCTCTTTCTTCCTTCCTGTATCTGGGGAAAGGGGAGAGATAAGGAGAGAAGCCACACACCCACCCAGCCAGCCCAGGGTCCCCGACGTGGGGCATGCTCCCAGCGCACTGCTCAAGTGGTTTCAATAGTTCGACTGTTCTGAATTGCTGCCAGTCTCGCCATTCCAAGAAAGAATATTTTCTATCTGTTTGTTTCTTCTCCAAATGCCTGCAATAGGCCGGGCCAGGCTGAAGCCAGGAGCCAGAAGCTTCATCTGGGTTTTTCACATGGGTGGTAGAGACGAGAGCGCTTGGGAGATCATCCGACACCTCCCAGATGCATTGGCAGGAAGCTGTATTGGAGGCAAGCACTCAGGATGGGATGCAGGCAAGAGATCCCGGTGAGCGTTCCACTGGCTGTTTAACCTACTGAGCCACCACACCTGTCCCACAGAGAGTTAATCATGGATGAAACCAAAGAGACATAAGTGCTTTAAACACCTGCGTCCTTTCACTGCCTTGCACTGTCATACAGTATCTGTCTTTACCCAACCTCCTAGGACCAACCAGGAAACCAGTTTATGCAATGAATGTTTCTGCAGTCACAGTAAAAATTTGGGGATTCACTGAGCTTTGTACTCTAAATAGTAAAGACTTAGATATGTCAGAAGACAGGCTCGATGCATGATGAATTGTTGCACCAGAAAACACCAAAATCACTTTTTTTGTTGTTTTTATTTTTGTTTTCAATCAATTTTGTATTTTTCGGAACTACAAATTGTCCTTTGATCTCAGCCTCTCTGGGTTTTCTTCGTAGAACGAAATGCTGGTGACATGGAGAGATTTGGAAAAGGTTATCTCGGACTAAAATAAAACTGCTTCAATAAAGGGACAGATTCTTTGGAAATCTCTTAGATTTGATGTCGTTCAACTTCAGGACAATAATGTCACATGTACTCACACAGTAATTGCGGGCACGCCTAAGTCCCTCCCTCTTTCCTAAACCCAAATCTCCGGATCCTCGAAATCCAGCCCAGCTGCCCTCCGGAGGTGCCTTTCCCAACGTAAAGTACAATTTAAAAATTTAAGCTCCTGACTAAAAATAATGATCCGCAGCCAAGCGCCGGGGAGCCCGGGCACCCACCCGGGGCCTCTGGAGGGTGCAGAGGGAGTGGGCAAGGGCAGGGGGAGTGGGTGAGGCTGCTGGTTGGTGCCTGAAATCTGTGCGTTGCCCCTTTAATTGTGTCCCCAGCCCTCGGGCGTTTCTGCCCAACGCCCACGTCAGCAAATACCTTTTGTTTCTCTCACGTTGGGGCTACTTGTTTTAGGGCGTAAAGGAACGGCTTCGAAAGAAGGTCCTAGCCCCTGCCGAGACCCGGGAAGCAGCCCCCAGCCCGGCCGGCGCGCCGCGGCCCGCGGTGAGTGTTGCGCGCGGCGCGGCGCGGGCGGAGGGCGGGCGGGGCGTCGGGGCTGCCGGGAGCGGCCTGAGCCCGGCTGCGGGCGGCGGGCGGCGGCGCCGGGATGTGGGCCCCGGGCGCGCCGCCCCCAGACGTCCGCGGCCGGGAGAGCTGCGCGAGGTGAGCGGGCGCCATTTGCAGCCCGGGGCGCAGCGCGGGGGCCGGTTTCGAGGGGGGCTGAAGACGGCCACAAAGGAGGCGCGGGCGGCTGCGGCCTCGGGCGGCGGCCGGGGCGACCCCGCGGGGGAAACGGCGGGCGACTGTGTGTGTGTGTGTGTGTGTGTGTGTTTGGGGGGGGGGTTGGTTCCCGGCTCCCCGTCCGCGCCTCTCCGTCCCGCGCCCGGCGGCACCTTCTCGCCCACCGCGAGCAGCGCCGCCCGGGCGCCCGGGAGGGGCTGCGGGACAATGGCCGCGCCGTCGCCGCCCGCGCCCGCCTTGCCGCCCGGCGCGGCCCGCTCCGGCCCGGGGAAAGGCGGGAAGGCGCGCGGAGCCTCCTGGCGGCGGCGGCGGGAAGCCGGAGGGAACGGTGCCGGGCGTGTCTGGAGCCGTCGGGCGCCGCGGACTGCGCAGGGCCGGCGGCTGAGGCGCTGGCGGCCGCCTGAGGGGCGCCGGGCGGGCGCCGACCGGAGGAGCTGCCTCGGGTGCATGGCTCCCCAGGGCCGGAGCCCGAATTTCTCGGGGCCTCCTCCTCCTTCCCTTGGCTTTCAAGTCCCGCTGCGACAGAACTGGGCGTAAAACCCCGGGCGGACTCCCTGCACCTAACGCTTAGTGAACTGCCAGAGCCATTCGTGCGCATCCCCTGCCCGTGCAGCCGCCTCTTCCCCCAAGTTAGGCAGCGGTTTGGCCGCTTCTCCTTCGGATGTGCTCGTTTACGTGGCTGGCGGCGGCAGTAGCCACAGCCTTCCCGAACTGGTTGTGGAAGCCCTGAATTCACATCTAGTGGGTTCCCCAACCGCACTTGCCGGCATCGCTTGAATCCATAATAAGCCTGTATATTTGCGGAACTTTAGTGGATGGATTGCTTCCCCCTGTAAGAACGCTTTCACCCAGTGTCCCCCAAAATAACCACCCCGTCAGAGTGAGAGTTAATTCCACTTTGCAGAGGAAACGCTCCCGTGGCGGGAATGAGCTTCGCCTGCAGGCCTGGAGGTGACTGGTGATAGCGACCAAGCGGGTCGCATTTCTCCCCAGGTTTGCCTTGCCTCCCAAGGGCAAGGCTAGAGGAGTCTTTCTGGCTTTCCTGCTTTAGAAACCTGATCTTTATCAGGAAAGCCCGCTGGAAGGCGTGGGACCTGTAGCAAGAGTCCTTCACTGATACGCCGGGGAACGCGCCCTGGCTACACAAGTGAATGAAAAAGTCAAGCCTGGGACCCCTGGCCCATGGTATGGAATGTTCTCTCAGACGCCAGCAGGGGATACTGTGAGCCCAGGGAGCCTGGCGTATAAATTTTTCATCCCTCCTCCCCAGAAAGGACAGGGGTCACACTTTATAGCCTCAAACCATCTGTCTTGTTCTTGGAAATGATTTGGGATGCGGGAAAACAAACAAACTGTGTAAGATAGAATAGTGCTGAATGCTCCCTGCATCATTTTCAGGTAAAGTGGAATTTCTGATAGGCTTAACCGTTTCCGTAATGTCTGTCACTGTTGAATGGTTTGATGTACAATTTGTTCGTGCCACAGAGGGAAGTACTTTGCTGTTCAAAATTGGTCAGAGGCTCCCCATATTTCACAGATGGAGAACCAAGGGCCCCCAGAGAGGCTATGGAGCCTTATAGGAAAGAATTCCTCCAGGCTCTACCCCTTGCCTGGTCGGCTTGCTCTCCCTTGCTCTCCCAAGGCTGGGCCAATCTGGCCTTCCTCCTCCACCACAGGCCTTGACCTCGCTGGGCCAGTCCCCTGAACTACCTTTCTTTCCCACAGGCTTTCCTGACTCTCCCTGTTTCTCTCTTGTTCTTGTCCTTCACTTAAAAAAAAAAGTCCTCTTAGTGAGATTTTTCCAACCATCACTTTTATTCGCTTAAATACATATATATGTATATTTTATTACAAAGTCAGATATACAGAGAAGAGGAGATACAGAGGGGAAGATCTCCCATCTGATGATTCACTCCCCAAGTGACCGCAACTGCCGGTGTTGTACCAATCTGAAGCCAGGAGCCAGGAGCCAGGAATCTCCTCCAGGTCTCCCACATGGGTGCAGGATCCCAAAGCATTGGGCTGTCTTCGACTGCTTTCCCAGGCCACAAGCAGGGAGCTGGATGGGAAGAGGAGCTGTCTGGATTAGAACTGGCGCCCATATGGGATCCCGGGGCATTCAAGACAAGGACTTTAGCCACTAGGCCACGCCACCAAGCCTTCTCTTAAATGTTTTTAAGAGATTTTAAAAATGTATTTGTATTGGAAAGTCAGATTTACAGAAAGGAGAGACAAAAAGATCTTCTATCCAGTCTCCAAGTGACTGCAACAGCAAGAGCTGAGCCAATCTGAAGCCAGGAGCCTCCTCCAGGTCTCCCATGCCAGTGCAGGGTCCCAAGGCTTTGGGCTGTCCTCTACTGTTTTTCTGAGGCACAAGTAGGGAGCTGGAAGGGAAGTGGAGCAGCTGGGATATGAACTGGCACCCATATTGGATCCCAGGGCGTGCAAGGTAAGGACTTTAGCAACTGGCTATCGTTCTGGGCCCAAGAGATTTTTTTTTTTTTAATTGAAAGGCGGAATTGTAGAAAGAGGAGAGAGATTGTACATATGTTGGCTCACTCCCTAAGTGGCTGCTGCTGCTGGGGCTGGGCCAGTATGAAGCCAGGAGCAAGGAGCTTTTAGGTCTCCCATGTGGGTACAGGGACCCAAAGTTTTGGGCCATCTTTTGCTGCTTTTCTAGACACGTCACAAGGTGCTGGATTGGAAGTAGAGCAGCAAGACTCCAACTGGTGCTCACGTGGCATGCTGGCATCGTAAACAGAAGCTCAAGCTGCCATATCACAGAGCTAGTCCTGATTTTTTTTAATGTTTAGTTCTAAAATTTCCCTGATGAAGGATATTCTTGAGGATAGGCATGGTATCATGGCTGGCTGATCTTCTACCTGTGGCACCAGTATCCTGTGTGAATGCCAGTAGCTTCACCACTTCTGATCCAGCTCTGTGCTTATGGCCTGGGAAACCGGAAAAAGATGGCCCAAATTCTTGGGCCCCGGCACTAACATGGGAGACCAGGAAGAAGCTTCTGGAACTCGGGTTCAATTAGCTCAGTTGTGGCTGTATGGCTGTTTGGGAAGGGAAGCATCACATCTCTCTGCGCCTCTCTGTTTAAAACCTGCCTTTCAAATAAAGATAAGTGAATCTTTTATTTTTTTAAATGCCATCCACCAAAGAATATGATAATCATTTCAGTTAGCTAAAGGTTCTTATGACCCAGATATTTAAAAAAAGGGGGGAAGGGGCTTACTTTATATGAAAGGCACAGTTAGAGAGAAATTGATCTTAGCATCCGCTGGTTCACTCTGCAGTTAACCACAATGACTGGACTTGGGCCAGGCTGATGCCAGGAGCCTGGAATTCCATTTAGGTCTCCCATGTGGGTACAGGGGCCCATGGGTTCTGGCTGTCTTCTGCTACTTTCCCAGCTGCATTGGCAGGGAGCAGGGTTAGAAGCAGAGCAGCTAGGACCTGAGCTGGCTCCCCTATAGGATGTCAGTATCACTGTGTGGCTTCATTTGCTTTGCCACAACCCTTGCCTCCCATGATGTAGGGATTTTTATGGAGATTAATGAGATTCATTTGGTGACCCTGATGGGACACATTCAATTCTAAATTAATTGCTACATATAATGTATTTATTTGAAAGCTCCTCTCTGCTGGCTTACTCTGTGAACACCTATAATGTGGCTGGGGCTGGGTCAGGCTTCTTGCACAGGTGGCAAGAACTGAAGCATATTTTATTTATTTATCTATTTATTTATTATTTGAAAGGCAGAGTTACTGAGACAGAGAGAGAAAATCTTCTCTCTTCTGATTCACTCCCCAAATAGCTGCAATGACTGGGGCTGAGTATGTAGAGGACCAAAACCTAGAACTCCGTATGGGTCTCCCACAGGAGTGACAGTGGCCCAAGCACGTTGGCCATTCTCTGCTGCTTTCCCAGGAGTATTAGCAGGGGAACTGAATCAGAAATGGAGCAGCTGGCACTAGAACCAACAGCTTAACTGACTGTACCCCAGTGCTGAACCCACCTTAGTACTTAGGACCTCTTGCTGTGTGCATTGTTAGGAATTAGAATCAGAGTGGAGTTGTGATCTGAACCCAGGCATTCTAGTGTGGAATGTGGGCATCCTAATATTGACTGCTAGACCAAGAGCCGACCCCAACTAAGTATGATTAGAAGTATTTTTCTTAGGTCCAGTGTGATGGCTCAGTGGTTAAATCCTTAATTTAAATGCACTAGGATCCCATGTGAGTGCTGTTTCCCATATATCTCGCTGCTTGTGGCCTGGGAAAGCAGTAAAGAATGACCCAAAACCTTAGGACCCTATACCTATGGGGGAGATCTGGAAGAAACTTCTGGCTACTGGCTTCGGGTTGGCTCAACTCTGGCTGTTGTGGCCACGTGGGGAGTGAACCAGTGGATGGAAGATCTTCCTCTCTGTATCTGCTCTCAAAGCTCAGCCAGAAGAGTTGTTGTAAGTCTGTCTTTCCAATAAAAATAGAAAAAATAAATCTTTTTTAAAAAAGAAGCATTTCTCTTTTTTTTTTTGCCATGATTTATTTCTTTTTAGTAGAAAGTCAGATATACAGAGAGGAAGAGAGACAGAGAAGAGGATCTTATGTCTGCTGGCTAACTACCCAAGTAGTGGCTAGAGCTGAGCTGATCTGAAATCAGGAGCCAGGAACTTATTCCAGGTCTACTACGTGGGTGCAGGGTCCCAAGGCTTTGGGCCGTCCTCCACTGCTTTCCCAGGCCACTGGCAGGGAGCTGGATGGGAGGCGGGACTGCCAGAATTAGAACCAATGCCATATGGGATTCTGGCATGTACAAGGCTAGAACTTTAGCCACTAGGTTGCTGTGCCTGGCCCAACATTAGTCCTTTTTTTTTTTTTTTTTTTTTTTTTTTGCAAAGGCAGGTTCG